TATCTACGCCGATGATTCCTGCTCAATATGTACCTTCAATTTTTCTAATACATATGGCATTTCTCTTCAACCCGCTACTTTCTCTTTGTAACCATTTAGTGGCCACTTCTTCAATATTAGTCCCACATTTAGGGAAGTTCAGTTCTGCAATGATGATAAGATAAAGATCCAAGGCAAAGAGTTCAAATGTTCCGTCAGGGTGAACAAAAAAAAAAAAAAAAAAAAAAAATAAAACTCAACGCCAGTTCTGTGTCGTTAACGAGTAGCCGAAGAATGTTAATTTGTTCTTAATCATACTCAGATATCTTTCAGCTCATGTTTATAACTTGTTGTTTAGCATGATGACACTGGGAACGAAAATAATGTACTGTGTCGCTCACCTTGCAATACTAACTCCCTATTCGTTTGATTATTTGATGGCCCACAGCTGAAGGCAAATTACTTCTATATAATTTGAAAGACACCCAGCTATGAGAAGAAAACATTTACCTTTATTTTGTTTTAGCGCCTAATAATATTGGTAATGATGCTAATAACAGCAATATCAATCATAAGGTACCAATAAAGTCACATTGGCAGCATAAGTACAAAAACGTACAATTCGTAATTAGCTCACAAAAAAAGGTTCTAAGGACGTTTGATAATCCTATGTAGAAGGATACCAATTGAATCCTTTGCTGTTAAACAGAGAAAACGGATTCTTGTATATTGAAGAAATATCTTTATCAATGCAAGTAGACATTTTTTAGGATCGCATACTGACAACAGAATTACAGAAATTAATTCCATCGGCATCTCTTATTAGTAATTAGAGAAGATCTTTTAAGAAAAAAACTTATTGATAATTGAGGAATATATTAATACCTTGCTACTGCATACTCCGTGAATTTAAATTTGTATAGATAACGGTAGATTTGTAAGTTAAATCTATTGCTTACAAGTATTGTTGAAATCATGGTATTAACATGAAAATAACGACAGCAGTATAACTTATTATGCAATGAAAGCAAGAATTTTAATGAGTATTGTTGCATAATGATGTGAAAATTGATAACATAACTAATCATTCAATACAGGCAACGTTAATGGCAGCAATACCAACGACGGGTAATTTAGAAAGGAGTTCCATTAGGTATAAATCGCCTTAAGGTAAAGTTGAAATACATGTCTGCATATTAGCTAACGGGGTATTTCATTATCCAGACCACGTAGGAATCTTTGAAAAAAGTGTACATGTTTATAATTGCATGGTCACAAAATTGCCTTTTCGCAGGCAAAATCCATAATCATGAAAGAGACGCTAAATATGTTCAAAATAATTGACTCTTTAAACCTATTTCACTTTGATATATGCATTTTTTGTTGCTATTATTCTCCATCTTTTCGATGTTTATTGTTTCCTAGCATATGCAGAGAGAGAGAGAGAGAGATGAGAGGGAGGGAGGAAGGGAGAGGGAGAGGAGAGAGAGAGAGAGAGAGAGAGAGAGAGAGAGAGAGAGAGAGAGAGAGAGAGAGAGAGAGAAGAGAGGAGAGAGAGAAGAGGAAGGGGAGGGGGAGGGGAGGGAGGGAGGGAACAGAGAGAGAGAGAGAGAGAGAGAGAGAGAGAGAGAGAGAGAGAGAGAGAGAGAGAGAGAGAGAGAGAAAGAGAAGAGAGAGAGAGAAAGAGAGAGAGAGAGAGAGAGAGAGAAGAGAGAGAGAGCGAAGACGAGCGAGAGAGAGAACGAGAAGAGAGAGAGAGAGAGAGAGAGAGAGAGAAGAGAGAGAGAAGAGAGAGAGAGAGAGAGAGAGAGAGAGAGAGAGAGAGGAGAGAGAGAATGAGAGGGAGAGCGGGAGGGAGGGAGGCAAGAACAACAAAAACAATAATAAATGGTAACAACAACAAAAAATAATGACAATAATAATAATAATAACTATAATGATTATACTAATAACTATGATAATAACAATGATGCTAAAAATAGTCGTGATAATAATGTAATGATAGAAATAAAACAGCTTAAAACTGAATCACAACAACAAAAAACAAAAACAAAATCTAAAAAAAAAAAAAAACGTAATCTTAAGAAAAAAGAGGAGAGCGGGGATGATGAGGGTAGGAAGAATGACAAAAGAAAAATCAAATAAAGAGGAGAATCTACGGAGGAAGGAGAAAGTGAAGAGCCCGAGAGAGAGAAATGAAAACTAATTCTGGCGACGAGAAAAGTCGAGAGACGAAACGGCAGATCAGTCACCGCGTCACCGGATCTCCGATGCAGACTGTGCTTATTTTTCTTATCTATTTTTCTAAGAATAGAGTATGGAAGACAAATATATTTCTCGAACAAATGGATAGCATATTAAATCATTGACATCAGCTAAATTATCACCTCTAATTTAAGTGATTAGAACCGCCATCCTCAATGATAAGATGTGGAATGCAGAATGAGTATTTTTCTTATTTTCTTTCTAAAACTAGAGTATGAAAGACAAATATTTAAGTTTCTCGAGTAAGTGGATAGCATATTAAATCATTGACATCAACTAAATTACCACCTCTAATTTAAGTGATTAGAACCGCCATCCTCTATAAATGGTAAGATGAGGCTAAACTTGGTATTAACGAACACACACACACCTACACAATATATATACAATTTTAAGAATAATTAGATTCAAACAAATAGGAAGGGTTTTCAATATGCCTTAACAATAAATTCAATATTCCTCATGAGTCTTCCACAAGCAACGGTGGTGCACTGGTAAGGCGCTTGACTTTCACTCGGAGGTCCTGCGTTCGATTCCCGTCATGCCGAGTGAACGAGGTGGTTTCACGCAGGTACCCCGTTGACTCAACGTTTTACTTGTTTCTTTAAGATTTTTGTTTGATTGGGTATACAATTATGAAAAATAAGGACATAAAACGTTTTATAAATGTTATGCAACATTATGCAATATAAATACCATTCGTATACGATCAGAATTCCGTCAGAATTTAGGAATTAGGAAAAAACATCTTGCGACTCTCTCATGCTGCTTTCACTCCATTCCTTATTTTTCTTAAGTTATTTCACCTGTCTCACAAACACCATCTAACATTCATTCAACCAATTTACTTTTTGTCAGAGCTTATATGGCCTTCTACATGACGCAAAGGACACGACAACAGTCGCCTTCGCAGTTTGGTTGACGAAAAGTCCTGTTTTGTTATAAATATATTTTTTCCAGCGTGTTTGGCCGTATTTTACAGAGGAGTGAAAAATATACAAGATTTTCAAATGTGAAATGTCTTTTTATCCGACGCGTATCATTTAGTCACTGTCAGCCCTAAAAGTCATTACTCTCGCTTCTGCCTTCAGGATGTTGGAATGATACGACGCCTGAGGCAGAAAGAAAGAGAGAGAAAGAAAAAGGGAAGGAACATGAAAAAATAACTAAATAAAATAGATGAATGAATTGGTAAATAATAAGAAATTACGAATATTTTTTTGTAATAATTATAATACGACGTCAGAGGCAGAAAGAAAGAGAGAGAAATGAAAAGAGGATAGAAACATGAAAATGAAAGCACAGAAAAAAGTGCAGTAAATAAAACCGATAAATAGAGCTGTATGCATTTGGAAAGGTGACATGTTTCATTCTTTATTTATTGTTAATACTTTTACTAAATGAAATGTTGGCATTTTAAAAGCTACAATGCAATGCATATTTCCAACACTTCTCTTTCGTGTTATCACGAATTAAATAAGAAAGGAGGCATGGAGGTGGGAAAGAAAACTATAAATAAATGACAGGCAGATAAAGGAGCGCAAGAAAGAAGTTGCGTTGAATGAAAAGAAATAACACTTATTCCGTCATATTCAAAACAGCACATGCAAAACATTACCCAATAAATTATAAACAAAACCAAATAAAGAAAACGTGTCTTTCCCTAAAATATCCAGTAGTAGGACAACCCGATTCTCACTCATTTTTGAACATCAGAGGAAATCAGTTTTAATCTCTGAAGCGTTTTGTAGATTTAATACTACGGTCGTCTTGAAAGCAGTTTTAGTAAACATTCAATGACTAAATTTCGTAATTATGGATGTTCATTCGAATTCTTGTTAGACAAAATTTTGTTTCTGTCGTAAAGTTCATATAGATTTCTGTTCATTTAACAATTTTTACCCAATTGCAGTACGTTTTCAAAGGCAAATATAGATCAATATATAACATTTGTAAGTCGTTATGCTTTAACAATAGTGTATTTGTTCAAAAGAATACCCTTTCTAAAAATCGTCGAATGAATAATCCATATCATACCAGAACAAAAGATACCTATCCACTAGATATTATCTAACATAGGACCCAACTGTCCCACACTGCAGTAGTAGTAGGATTCACAACCTTGGTAACTATACTGCCTGGTTTGCTTTCATTCCGGACAATGAGTAACATTCATTATTACAGTATACAAACACTACAATGAGGACAAACATTTCATATATAAATAAACATTAAGGTAGTGTAAATGGATAATCGTGGCAGTTCGTTCTTCTGTTGCAAGTCCAAAAAACTCCCATGATTATACTTAATCGGATTTCATTGCAAACGCATATGATTCTCTTCTGTTAGTTCGTGTTTCTTATCTGAAGTGGGCAAAGTGGAACGAAAACAATACTAAACAAGACAATAAACAACCATAGTCCTCTTTCCCTTCCTGCCCATTTCCTGCCTCCTTTCCTCAATCACTTGTCGTCCTCTTCATCCATTCTTTGCTTCTCATAATTATAAATGTAATCACATGATTTATGAAGGATAACGAAATTGTGAAAAAACATCACTTAAAAAAAAAATACAAAATCAAACGCTCCATACTCCTTCACACTATAAACAAGAAAAGAGACAGAAACAAGAGCAGATAGATAGAAGGGTAGATAAGTAGACAGATGCAAACAGAAATTCATGCATAAAAATCGCATTATATCGTCTCCGTCGGGGCTCGAACCCGAGTCTGTCGCGTAAGAGGCAACTGTGCTAAC